AAAATCAAGAAAGGACTTAGAGAAGATGTCTTCCGTTTTGGAGAGTTCATGCTTGGGTTCAAAGAAGTGGTTTGAGATAGTCCTGGTTAAATAAAATGATTCCATTCTAATGAAGATGCCAACCAACCAACAACAACAACAATAACAACAACAAACCTTTATCCCACTAAGTGGGATCAACTACATGAATCATTTTTCTCCATTGCGTCCTATTGAGTGCCTTATTTTCATTTAATTCTAATAAATTAAGATTATTTTTTATACAATATGCCCAAGTCTTTCTAGGTCTACCTTTGCCTTTTATAGCATAAGTTGAATCTAAAACATCTACAATCCTAATCGGATCATCAGTTGGTCTACGTTTAATATAATGACTCTCTCTAATTTTGTCCGTCATCGGAGCTACACCAACTTTATCACGGGTATATTCATTTCGCATTTTGTCTCCAAGTATATAGCTACTCATCAACCTAATTATTCTCATCTCGACTACACTTAACTTAGTTTTATGCTTCTCTTTTAAAGACCAACATTCCACGCCGTCGAGCATTGCATGTCTCACCACCATCTTATAAAATTTTACTTTCAGTCTAAGTGGTACTTTTCTAGCACACAATAGGCTCGAAGCATTCATCCACTTCAGCCAACCAACTTGAATTCTACTAATATCATCCCCATGTATATCACCATCACTTTGAAAAATAGACTCGAGATATCTAAAGCGTTCACACCTTTTAATAATTTGATCACCCATAGTTACAATTCTGTCACTATAGCTACTAGTACTAAAATTATATTCCATGTATTTAGTTTTAGTTCTACTCAAACGAAGGCCTTTAGATTCCAATGTAGACCTTCATAATTCAAGTTTTTCCTGAGCTTTCTCTCTCGTCTTATCCACGAGCAGGATATCATCAACAACAAGCATACACCAAGGTACATCCTCCTGCAAATGTCTAGTAAGAGCATCCATAACTAAAACAAAAAGATATGGGCTTAAAGCCGATCCCTGATGTAATCCAACAAAAATAGGAAAATATTTGGTCAATCTTGCTTCTGTTCGAACACAACATCTATAGTATACATATCTTTAATGACTTAATATAAGTCATATCAACACCTTTCTTCTCAAGAACTCTCCTAAGAATATCTCTTGGAACCTTATCATAAGCATTTTCTAAATTAATAAAAATCATATCTATATCCTCCTTATTATCTCGGAATCTCTCCTTCAATCCTCTCAATGAATGTATAGCTTCCATAGTAGACATGCTCGAGATAAATCCAATTTGATTATGAGAAACTATTGTAATACATCTTAACCTATGTTCAATTACCCTCTCCCATAATTTTAAAGTACGACAGATCAACTTAGTTCTTCTATAATTTGCAAAGTCTTGTGCATCTCCTTTATTCTTAAAAATGGGGACCATGATACTTTTCCAGAATTTATCTTAGGCATCTTTTTGGTTTTTTAAAATAATATTAAAGAATTTAGTATGCCAAGAAACTCCCAAATCTCACTCCCAAATCTCTTATATATTTCCTCTTATATATTTCCACACTTCAATTGGGATATCATTAGGTCATACAGATTTTTCATCATTGTTTTTCTTAAAGCCTCATCAACTTCTTTTCTACTAATGTGATGGTAAAAATGAAACAATGTATTATTATTAAGGATATTAACATCACTAAGATTGATCATATTTTGAGAAACTTCATTAAAAAGTTTATCAAAATATCTCAACGTTCTATGTGAATATCTTTTTCTAAGAAAAACTCTTTTTGATTTTCATCTTTAATATACTTTAATTGAGTTAAATATTTACTTTTATTTTCATTTTGTTTGGCTATTTTTGCATATAATTTTCACCCTCCTTAGTATCTAATATTATAAAGATCACTAAAATTAGAATTTTTAGCGTCACAGATTGTTCTCTTTGAAACCTTACGGGTCATTTGATATTTTCTCATTTCTCTAGACTTTTACATTTAAACTAATTTTTATAACATTACTTCTTATATTTAATCTTTTCTTGCACGTTATTATTTCACCACCAGCTATTTTTATTTATAGAAACTTTTTCTTTTGATTCTCTAAGTACATCTTTTGCCACTTGTTTAATAGTATTTGTTACTTTATCCGAAATAGAATTTCCTTCTTCATAAACATCCCAAATCTTGAAATCTTGAATTTTTCTCATAAAAATACTTTTACTCGTGTCTTTTAGGTACCCCTATCTAATTTTATAATGATAATTCCTAGCATTCTTTATTTTACAACTCTTCATCTTAAAATCCAGAACTAATAATCGATGTTGAGTACTAAAATCCTTACTTGGAATGACCTTATAATTTTTACATTCTTGAAGATCTTTTCTTCTCATAAGAAAATAATCAATTTGTGTTTTATTAGATCAATTCTTATAAGTAATATTATGCTAATCTCTTTTCTTGAATAAAATATTAATAATAAAAAAAATCACACGCTAAAGCAAAGTCTGATATGACTTTACCTTATTCATTTACACTCCAAAACCGTAGCCACCATGAATACTTCTAAAATCTTCTAATACTTTACTGACATGTCCATTTAATTCTCCTCCAATAAAGATTCTTTATTCAATACATTTTGTATTAAGTCTTCTAAGTCATTCCAGAATTTATCTTAAAAACTAATACCTGAACCTGCTTGTGGATTATAAACACTTATAATATTAAAAATCTCAGTATCAACAATAATCTTAAGGGCTATAATTCTATCTCCAATTTTATTAATTTTTAAAATATTATTTTTCAAACTCTTATTTATAATTACACCTATACTATTTCTAATTTGACTCTTACGTGAATTCTAAAATATAAAACCTAAGTTATCAATCACCTAGCCTTTTCTCCAACCCATTTAGTTTCTTGAATAAGTAAGATATTTATCCTTCTATGAATCATAATATCAGCTAATTCTATTAATTTACCGGTGAAAGTACCTATATTCAAAAATCCTATCGTAATATTGTTTCATGGACTAACTTTTTTACCCGCATCCATCCATAATATGAGAACCCTTGCTTATTTGACACTACACCTGGACACCGGTGTAGTGACCCTTGCACACTTTTCACTGTATTCAGGCCATACAACGCGTTGCTTCTAGAGAACGCCCTAGCATTTACACAATAATCAAAATGATTCAAGTAATGATTTTTCGACAAATTTTACGCTGGCTGTCGACTGCCTAATTTAACGCTCCACTTTTCACATCTGATTGTTGGGATCCGACAATAATAATTTTAATGAAGATGTTAATCAGAAGGAAAAAAAATCACCAAATAGCCTGAATTCTTATGCCATTTTGAAAAAAATGAGGGTAAAACTTTTGCTTATGCCATTTTGAAAAAAATGAGGGTAAAACTTTACTTAGATCATAAAACAAACCAAAACATCTTTCCAAAATCAAAATTGTTATCATTTTATATATTCCCGTAGATAAGGCGAAATAATAGCTGAGTGCTACCTGTATTCTTTGGTAAAATGTGAGAAATGAGTGCTAATTCCCATCCAAAGGTATGTAAAAGCAGTATCATACAAATATATACGTTGGATAATATTGCAAGACGAGGAATTAGAGTGCTGAAGAATAGATAAATCCATTGGAAAGAAGGTGTATGTTTATCTTACACTACAACAACAACAAATCTTTATCGCCCTAAATGGTGTCGGCTACATGAATCCTTTTTCACCATTGTGTCCTATTGAGTGTCATATTTTCATTTAATTCTAATAAATTAAGATCATTTTCTTATATAAAATACCTAAGTCTTTCTATGTCTACATCTGTTTTTCTTAATATAAGTCGAAACTAAAACATCTACTCTCCTAAGCGGATCATCAGATGATCGACGTTTAATGTGACCAAACTATCTAAGATGACTCTCTAATTGTTTCCCTCACTGGAGCTATGTCAATCCTATCTTGGATATATTCATTTCGTCTTTTGTCTCTAAGTGAAAAGCCACTCATCCTTCTAATCATTCTCATCTTGACAACACTTAAACATAGTTTTATGCTTCTCTTTTAACGGCCAACATTTAGCGCCATGGAACATTGCAGGTTTTACCACAACCTTAAAATTTTCCTTCTATTCTAAGCAGTACTTTTCTATCACACAATAGGCTCGAAGCATTCCTCCACTTCAACCAACCAACTTGAATTCTACTAATAATGTCCCCATTTATACCATTTATATCACACCATCACTTTAATTATGTTTATTTTACACTGATTTTTAATAATTAACCTCCCAAAGTTTTGGGTCTACAATTGCTTTTACAACCGAAGAAGAAGAAACGTCTTCCATCTGCATTTTCTTCGTAGAAGAAACTTTTTATATTATCAATTGTTTTAACGACCATTTTGGAGTCCAAAAGGAGTAGCAGTTTGAAGGAAATATGGTCATTGAGTTTCTAAAGACATTTCTTTTTTTAGGAGTTTTTTTTCCCCAAAAAGCAAGTTTTGGATTCCTTCACAAGCATCTCTTATTACATACTATGATGAAAATTTTGAATATTTTTGATGCTCATTATTTCAATTCTCTGTGTGAAATGAGAACTTTTTTTTATTTTCTCTTTCAAGTCCTTTTTGCTGTGTTTACATGGGACCGTGGTATGTTAATGCATTTTGTAAGTTGTTAGTGAAGCTTCTATATATTATCCCATAGGATTGTGATTTGTTAAATTTATTATGTGGTTATTGAAACTCTAAAATATAACCTAATGCAGGGATCATATTAGTTGGATACTTTTTTATTTGTACCTCGCTCTCTATACAATAAGAACCTGATTCATTCTCTTTTTTTATCCTTTTGGATTTACATGTTATCACGATATGTTAATGCATTTTGAAAGTGGTTAGCGAAGCTTCTACATATTGTCTCACATAATTGTGGTTTGTTGATGAATTTCCTATGTTGTAAGTGAAGCTCTTATAACCCACTGCAGGTGTCATATGAGAATGCTGTTGCTCCTTTGGCGGATCTTGAAGAATTTCAGTATCCATTGGTGCAGTCCTGCATTTTTCAAAAGATGGTGGCTACTTCAGATGAGGTTCGGAAAGCAAGTGCTGATGCTGAGAGGATTCTTGATTCTCACTTCCTGATGTGCAGGTGACACTTGATCTATCAAATTTTTGTATGATGTCTCTTCGTTTATGTCTGTTATTGTGCTTTGTTTGTGGTCCCTAAGCTTGCAAAGGCTTAGCAGTGAAGTGTTTGTCCTCAGTAATTCTTTATTTTAGAGTGCAATTATTTTAAATTACAATGTGATGTGTAAGAATTCGTTATCACATGCACGGATGAAGCAACATTTTTGTTAATTAAAACACTCAGGACTTGTATATACTGTATACAAATATTGTGTGCATATATCGCTGATTTAATCACCCAAAATTAAGCTACATAAGGTAATGTTTCTAACAAATATAATGATGCATACAATAATAATAAAACATAAATTATATAAAGTAATAATGTAATGCTTCAAAATTTCAACAAACTTAAAGATATAGACTAAAATGTAGAGAAAATACTTAAAAATCAATGATATCTTCTAAGATTGTTATTTATGACTCAATTTAGAAGGTTCTTTTTTGCAAGGTTTGGGAATTTGAGACAAGGAAAGCCAACAAATTGAGTGGCGAGAACTACAACTTTATAATTGAGAATGATTGATATGGAGAAAAATGGATGACCATGTAGTGTCCATGAGGAGAGTACCGGGAAAGTGAGAAGAGGAAACCTGAGTGGCCAAGAAAGAAAAATTGCATTTCTATTGTGACATGCATTCACATGATTTCTAGACACCTTTGTTTACTTTGGATAAACTGCTATTTGTGTGAGCCAGTAAGTACTGAATCAATGAGGCACACGATGAGTTCTTGAATTACACTCACAATCATTGTTAAAGCACACATAAGTAAGTATTTTAAAGCACATAACATTGTGGCGTACTGTTGACATCGCTTTCGGTCAAGATGTAGTTTTTCCCCTCCTTAATAGCCTAGGATCTAGCCGTAGGATCTTTCTGTCGACTACTCCTAGAAAACTAGTGAAGGAGCCCTCCCCGTTAGCAATTCTGGACCTTCGCTCAACTTGACGTTCCATGTGGTAGTTTTGACCGCTATTGCTTAGCAGGCAAGACTACTCCGAAGGAACTCAGGGAGCACTCCTATAGGACTGACAGCCTTAGGATTGACTCTACACGTTGATTTGGCGCCGCTGCGCTCTTCGCCATCCTGTTTAATCGAATAATAATCAAAATTTTGATACGATTCGGACTGCGACGCGTTTTGGTCCCAATCGTCGACAAAGCAAAGTTGCCCGTTGCCCGGACGACTCCGGACGACGAAACGAACTGCGCCGATGCTTCCGGAACATCGATTTTGCCTAGGGGGGACGTTCGCTTCATTGCGATGGCACGTCTTAGGGAAAATACCTATTTAAGTGTTAATTATACTAATAAATAATATTTTATTATTATTATTATAATTAATAACTTATATTAAAATCCTTAACCTAACTCCATTTCTCTCCTTCTCCCGTTAAACCCTCGGGGTTTACCTCTCGCCCGAGCCTTAGCTCGCCCCCGCCTTCCTCCGTCTCGTTCGTGAGCCGGTTGACGCCTCTTGCGCACACGTCTGTGAGACCCATCCCCTGCGACAAATCCTTATCTCTTTTCTCATGATGTCGCGGCCTCTCTAGCCTCTTATCCCTGCTCCTCTCTGCGACGATTGTTGCCCTTCTTTCCGCTTCCCTCGCCTCTGGTCTGCGGTGGGTGAGTTTAATCGAGCTCCTCTTCTCCCTGATAGATATATTTACCCCATTTGGGGAGACCCAAAAGAGAGGCCGAAAATCTTTCTAAGGGAGAAAACTCTGCTCTTTTCCTTTCTCACTCACTTCTTTGATCTTCTGGTGCTTGAATTGATGTCCTCTTGTTGTTGGAGTAATTGAAATTGAGGAGTGCGTTTAGAGTTCTTGTGTTACTTTCTTTTTGCTTCAAGGAGGTACCTTTTCCCCTTTTGTGCCTTGCTCTGTTTTCGGTTTTGCTCTATGCTGAGTCTCTGTTAGCTTAGTACAATGAATAATGTGGCATTTTAACTTAATGTTGCACTTATATTTTTGAAAGGCATGTTACTCCAGCATCTAGAGATGGAAGTATGAGCATGTTCTAGGGATTGGATTTGATTACTTGCTTAAGATGGTAGGAATATAGCATGATATAAGTTTTTCCTCTTTCCTCTACTTGCTTGAGATGAAATTATGACATATTTCTATTACTGCGAATGAGAAGGTTGAAGCATGACTTTGAGACAATGTTAGTTCCTCTTGCAAGCATGTTAGGATATGCATCATGAAGCTCTTCATTTAGTCTTATATAGCATGAGACATTGGAAGGTTTATTTGGTCTTTCACGCATGTGGGGGCTCGGTTTTGGCTCCCTGGCTCCCTATGGCTTTTCCTTGCTCGAAATGCATGTTATGAAAAAAAAAATTATTTAATTTCGAAAGCCCTGTAGCTTGCTTGGACTCTGTCTTGGCTTTGAGTGACTTGGTTTTAGCCTCTATTGGGGTTCGATTTTGCCTGATCCAGTCCTTGGTTTCTTTTTTTCTTTTTGCATACTTGTAATGCTTATTTTGGCATGGGATCTGTATGTTGTTGGCTACTCTAAGACCAATATATGTGCGGGTTTATCCCCAAATGATTTAAAGTTGGTGCAGGGCGTGGTTTTACTTGTTCTTGGCCCTACTCGAGAGCTGGTTTGGTGAGTGGGCTCGGTTTCTTATTTTGGGAAGATATGGGTGTTGAGTTTATGAAAACTTAGCTTTTATATGGGTCGTGGACTTTGCCTCATGCCTTGGACTCACCCTACTCCGTAAGCCATCCCTTCCCCTTGCCTCGTGTCCTGGCTTTGGTCTTGGCCGTGAACCTCTTTTGTGCCTTGGGTTGCTTTAGCCGTGAGCCTTACTTGTCTCCTGGGTTGCTTAAACCGTGAGCCTTACTTGTGCCTTGGGTTGTCTTTTGTCATGGGCTTTAGCAGCTGTCCCTTGCTGCCTTTAGCCGAGAGCCTCTTTTGGCCTTGGATTTCTTTAGCCACGAGCTTTAATAGCTCCCCCTTTCCTTTTTGTTGCCCTGAAAAGATTTTATGCTTATCTGATATGTGATGCTATGAATTAATTTGGAAGTTGGAAGATTTTGATATCAACTTTGGGATTTTGGGAAGATTTGCAAGCTTTATTTGCGGAGAGCATTTGGTTGATTGGATTAAGCCTACGTCTTTGGGGTTTGAAAAATAAGCGCAAAGTGGTATTTTATGTTTGTTAGGAAAGACCTCGGGCCCTACTTTTCTAGATTTTTTCGACAGGAGTTTTTGAGAGCTGACCCATTCTCCTTTTCAGTATTTTAGATGGATCAGTATCTCCTCTCTCTCACCCCATTTTTGTTCTTTTTTTTCCTTGCTTCTTGGTTCGGTTTTTGATGCTTATGTCCGATGCATAAGTGTCCACGTATAGCCTTTTGTTATACGTGAAACCATTAAAAAGGTCACAAGTAGTTTGTTTTGGGGCGTAGGGTGTTGATGATAAAGACACACCGAAGATAGAGCAGAAAGAGGCCCTATCCTATAACATCAAGATCTAGACATTTGATGAACAATAGGATATGATATCATTCACCGACATAAGTCTAGCGGGAGTTGACTCAAACCTCTTCAGATGATTGATAGTCCCACGCCCGACAATGTAATCGACTTGTGGACAATAAAAATTGTTAAAAACTATTTAAAAAAATAAAAATATATTTTTCGCTATAAAATAAAATTTGATAATCTCTTTTTTTTTTAACTTATGTGCATGTTAAGAAAAAAAAAACATAAGTTTTAAAAATATATTTTAAAATTGATTGTCCACCTGACGAATACCTGTTTAGGCTGCGAAGTAGCCCTCTCAGTGAGGTTAAAGATACACTTCTAGACGAGTGGCGGGGTCTTTATATTTCGGGGGCCGCATAAGCCTTTGGGGCCTGAGCCTAGCCCTACACAAATGCTTGCGGTCCCCCTTACCTGAACTTTTTGTTTTATCGAAGCTTTGGACAGAGCACTTGTGTTTCTTTTCGTTTCTTCAAGATTTCTCAGAGATTTTTGAAGATGTCTACTTGAGTCTTTTTCTCGTTGATTTTCTCGAGTTTTCGATCATGAGTCGTCGTTACACTTTTCTTCGGATTTCCCGGATGGCTTTTCTTCCAGATTTCGCTTTTTGCAATATATTTCAACTTGTTATATTTAAGAAACAGTGGATCCCACGGGCGTACAAGTTCATTTTACATTTACAACATGTTATTCTATTCCTGTTCCTACCTGCTACTGTTCTGTACAGCATGTTATATTATTTCTGTTTCTACCCGCTGTTGTTCTGTAAGGTATGTTACACTGTTTCTTTTACTGTACTTGCTACCGCTCTATAAAACATGTTGTACTGTTCCTTTTACTATACCTGCTATTGTCATGTATGGCATGTACATTGTTTCTGTTATTGTGTTTTCTACTGCTTGCCCTTTACTGCACATTTTTATATTACATAGCTTTAAACATGTCTCCTTTCCATATAGAATGTTTAGAGGTCTATTACCATATGGTCGTTTGATTTGACATCATAACTAGAAAACTTGAACTCGTCACGACAAGGAACTTGGAGTTAGCGCGGTGGGCAGCACGATCATCTTCAGCAGCAGAACATGTCTTCCGCAGCTAAACCATTCCTTTTCTAGAATTTAAAATAACAATCCATAGGATTTTGAGGTTGTTTGCCTAGCACAACATAAATCCTCAACCTTTTCGTTAGGTATTCGTATGACTCTGTTGTACGATCTAAACCCTAACTCGTTTCAGGATTCTAAGGTTGTCGTTCGTTATGACTTAAATCCTCACATTTTCAAGCTATTTGTGTGATCATTTCACATGAATCGAATGTAAGCCCTAATTAAATAAAACTGACAGGATAAAACATTTGAATATTCCTCTTCAAAACTGAAGCCAAACCATAGGGTAGACTGAGAAGCCACCAAGGACCTCCTCTGGATCTGTGACATCCCCTTGTTCTTGTTCCTTTGGATCC